GGGAGCGGGCAAGGTGGCGCCCTAGGGAGAGGGCGGGGGTTGGGAGCGTGGCGGCGCTCCCGCTGAGGGTTCGGATCCCATATAGAGACCAGTCTGCTCACTGGTTGAGCGCGGTGCGGGCGCGACACCAAGGGTTGCGATCCCATTGCCGGTCATGAAAAAAGACAAAAAGGGAAAAAAATAAATAAATAAAAATCCCTATAAACTGCAATAAGTGGAAGTAACAAATCATCCATCACCTGTATTTTTAAGAGTACGAACTCTTTAAATGCAGCAAGAGAAATAAAAAACAACATTCATCAGGGATCTGGAAAGTAGATTTTCCCACTGAGTAGATCTTCTAGCCCAATATGTTTACTGGTCTGTAATAAAAATATCTACTTTGATTTCTTAGAGATTTCTCCAAGTAATTATAGTGAAGCAATTTAAAAATTACTACATATTATTTAATTTTTATAGCACATTTTTAGAACCCCATTTCTTCTGGAAAAAAATTCCTATTGAAATAATTTATTATTGTGTGACTCAATCCAGGGAGAAGGGAAGATAGGAATATTTTCATATGATACAAAATGGTTTAGGACATGGAAGGAAAGATTTATGACTTCTTTTAAATCATCCAGCTATGGTTTTGAGCATGTTTGTTTTAATTTTTTTTCCCCAGGATATTTGTTCTGTTTGATGCTAATGACGTATTTGGCAAATTCCTGTACTGTACGATATATTCTACTTTGTGGGAGAGTGTCAAATAATAGTGTTGGTTTGCCTATGTTGATGATTTGCTGTAATTCAGACATAGTGCAAACAATTTAAACTTTCTTAGCTTCATTTTATAGGTATATTTTTTTAAATGCCCCTTCTGTGATTGCTGTAAGAATTTAAAGACTAACAAAATATAAATTAACAATATGGGCCTCAACAAATGTTCAATGCCAATCTCTTTCCCTTTCTTTTGTATTCCTCTTTCCTTTCCCTTTCATAGTAGACTATGGCTTGAAAGCAAAGAAAAAGGTGGATAAGAAGCCAGGTTCCACAGTTCCATATTAACCTCTGGAATGTGGGGGTCATGGGGCGAGGTTGGTGAACGGAGGAGATGATATAAATGTACTTTCACAGTATTTAACCTATTATGATAAAATGCAATTAAAATGATTACTGAAATTATCTCAACAGCTGTATTTACTCAAGTTAAAAAAGTCAGGGACATTTTCTCAATTTATTTATTTTTTTACTGAAACACTCAATACTTCAAAAAATACCAAGAAGCCAAACAGTTGTCTGCTGGACGTTATCAATCTCTGGCAATGCAAAATACCTTGAGAACCTCAAGAGAACCATAGCTGGTTAAAAATACATACCTTTTTCTCCCCCTGCCTTTTCTTTCCATTTTTCAAAATAGAAGATGCAGTTTGTTTCTTATTACAGTTGGTTAGAGTTGCATAGCAAAGATGTTAGGGTAGCTTTGAAAATGTGAAGGTTAGAGTCTAAGGAGCAAGGTAAATTTTGCATTTGGATCTCATTTGCAATTCCTTCAGTCATCATTATTTTATCTAGCTATATCAGTAATTCCCTCAGGAATGATGATGCCGTCCAAAGTAGGATCATGCTAGAGATTTTCCCTGGGTCTGCAAACTACTGAGATTGTAATTACTTGGTATCCATCCTAATGGAATGATAAGCTTTTTTTCCTTTTGTATCACAAAAAGTATGTGACACTGTGTGTTCATCTTCTCTATTGTCTTCACAGCTTGTTCTCCAGAGACCCACGGGAAAGAGTGTGGCAGCCTCCATGACTGTGAGAACGGAGGCACCGTGATCCTCTGACAGGGCAGTGCCAGTGCCCCCCAGGGGTTCATGGGAAAACATGTGAAGATGGTAGGAAGGCTGGTGCAAGTCATACTTGGTATCCATCCTAATGGAATGATAAGCTTTTTTTCCTTTTGTATCACAAAAAGTATGTTACACTGTGTGTTCATCTTCTCTATTGTCTTCACAGCTTGTTCTCCAGAGACCCACGGGAAAGAGTGTGGCAGCCTCCATGACTGTGAGGACGGAGGCACCGTGATCCTCTGACAGGGCAGTGCCAGTGCCCCCCAGGGGTTCATGAGAAAACATGTGAAGATGGTAGGAAGGCTGGTGCCAGTCACAAGATGGTAGGAAGGCTGGTGCAAGTCATGTGGGGCAACTCTAAGCTCCTGAGGTTTCTAGTGGGAAATAAACTAAGTGAAAGTTGCATCTGTATTTTTCAAGGTGGCCTTTTCTAAAGAAGTAAAAGGCCGTGTCTATATATACAAGAGTACAATTGTTTTGACTTATGATGTGTGGAACAACAAAATAAGCGATGCTTAAATCTCCTACTGTGACCTAAGCAGGATGAATTCTGACACAGAGAAAGGCTTTTTCTTCTGCGACTTTTGTCGAGTTTGTGTATGCAGATTTGGATGTAAAAGCTGGGGAGAATTTGTTCGCTCTGCATAACAGCAGGGGGATAAAACGGAGCTCCTTGGGCAAACCAGGAGGGAGAGAGATGAAAATCAGAGAAGGAGAGGAGAGGAAGGAGAGAAGAAAAGAAATGATGGATGAAAAATCTCACAAAATACCGACGAGTATTGTGTATGGATTTTTCACAGAAACCAGTGAAGAGGGCACATTTGTTACCTGGACTGATAACACACAAGAACAGAAACTGCTTGTATAGGGATAAGAGCTAAAGGCAGAGAGTCAATGAGGATATAAATCTCCAGGGATTGCCAGAAATCATGGGGAGTTGATTAGATTCTCACAGTCCACCGAACTGGGGAGATAGAAACAAAGTTTACTTTGTTTTCTGAGATGCAGGAAAGCCCCTGCTGGCATCCCAGTTACTTATCCCTTGAGCAGTCTGTTTATTTATTAAAAATATATATTAAATGGATACAAGGAATGGTGCCAGGCATTAGGATGTGATAACTGAAAAGAAATCATGATGCTCCACGTCCTTCCATGAGGAACTTGCAGTCTTGTTCAAGACAAACATATGTTACAAATGTTGGTAGGTGTTACCAATTAAATATTAATGTGTAGTTAAAGGTGAGATCACGAGGACAATGCAGACTCTGTGAGCCAGGGCAAGACTTCTGGAGATGTGACACTTAAACAGAAGCCTGAAGAACGAGGACAGATGAGACAGGGGAAGAGTGAGGGATGAGCATTCCAGACTAAGAGGCCACATGCTGCCAGACTGAAGTGGGAGGCGTGGGATGCACTGTGGGACCTGCAGAGGCCAGCGTGGCCGAGCAAAGGCAGCCAGGGAGACAGCAGTGCAATGGGATGTCAGCCCATGCAGGGGCTCGGAATCTAGTTAAGCTTGGGGGTTTGGACCTGACAGCAATGACAAGTCATTTTAGGATTTTAAGCTGAGGATGCAGAATCCTATTTGTGGTTTACAAAAGATCTCTCTAGCCTTCAGTTTAACCACGTTGGAAACATCTTGCTTTTCTCAACCTCCTTACTTCGTATAATGACAGCTCTAGTAAGTTTTGCATGTGGGTTAACATTTCCTGTGCTTGTCTTACCATCCTCCAGGATGCCCAAAAGGGTTCTTTGGGAAGAACTGCAAGAGGAAATGTAACTGCATCAACAGTGGCTATTGTCACAAGATGTATGGAGCCTGTATGTGTGAGCCGGGGCGCTATGGGAGGTTTTGTCATCTGAGTAGGTCACAGGCTCTGAATTTGCTCTTTGTGTGAAGTATGAAGGCTCAGAAAAGTACAGAGAATATGTTAGACAAAGGAAGAGTAAAAAACATAATTTATATAGTTACATATATATGACAATTATATTCTAGTATTTAGCCTGTTTAAAAGATAGAATCTAAATTTTGATGAATGGAAGAAAAATATTTCTAATTTTTGTACATTATTTTTCTATTAGTGTTTACCTTAATTATTGAGAGAGAGGATTGTTAATAGTTTACTTATGAGTAAAAGGATATTTGACACTTTACAAGAGTTGAATATCAAGGGCCCAGAGTAAGTCTCTTTTATTTCTGGGTATCATTCCCTAAAATTTCTAAAACAGGTTTTTCATTTTTCATTTTGACTATCAATCACATTTAGCAAAAAATGAAAGAAAACACGATCACCAATAAATACTTGAGTACGTAGTAACTTAGATTTTCTACCGACAAGATAACCTGGATGCTCACCATCCCCACCTGGAAGCTGTGTGCAGGTGTCTGTGAGCCTGAGATGATGTCTGCCCTGCTCCTCTACCTAGTCCACGTCTTCTCTTTGGGTTGAAGGACTAGTTTCTCTGAAAATCTTTCCTGAGTAAACTTCAGTGTCTTAATCTGTTTGAGCTGCTACAACAAAATACCATAAACTGTAGCTTATAAACAACAAATATTTATTTCTCACAGTTCTGGAGACTGGGAAATCCAAGATCAAAGTCCCAGCAGATTTGGTGTCTGCTGAGAGCCCATTTTCTGGCTCATGCATGGTACCTTTTTGCTGTGTCCTCACATGGTAAAAAGGGCTAGGCAGCTCTCTGGGGTCTCTTTTATAAGGGCACAAATATTCAGATCATAGCATTCAGTAATACCGTGTCCATCTCTTAAAAATGGACACCTTTTAGAGTCTTATATTGTGTGTTTAGCTGAATATCTATGGCTCTTATTCTGTTTTATAAAAGGTGTGCCCTTAGACAAGAGAGAAGAAATTAGAAATACTCCAATAAGAAAGCCAGTGAAGCAGTATAGAAAACTGAACCTGGGTCATAAGGAAAGGTAAGGCTTAGGTCAGCAAAATAGAAGAGAAGGGAGGAAGGTGTGAGTAAATGTGATGGAGGTGCAGATGGTGTGTTCCAGAATGTCCTACACCTCTTAGAACATGCCAAGGGAAGAAGGCTGACCTAGAAACAAAGATAGTATCATTTCTATTGTTCTCTAGTGTAAAAAGAGACATCCCATTTTTAGTATTAACTTTTTTTTAAAAGGTAATATCAGATGTTTAGGCCAAAAAAAAAAAAAAAAAAATTCCCCCCAAACAAAAACTTACATCATAATTCATCTGGTCAAAAATTTTAAAAGCTTCTATTGTTCTCTAGTGTAAAAAGAGACATCCCATTTTTAGTATTAACTTTTTTTTAAAAGGTAATATCAGATGTTTAGGCCAAAAAAAAAAAAAAAAAAATTCCCCCCAAACAAAAAACTTACATCATAATTCATCTGGTCAAAAATTTTAAAAGCTAACTTTTCAGAAACATGAAAAGTTAAAGTTTTTAGAGTTTAATAATATCAGCAATGCAGATTTTTATTTATTTGCATGCTGTGAGGAGTTGAGGCACAGGAGAAATTCAGCAAACAGACTTGGTGGTGGTGAGCATTTTGAATATGACCATCTTTAGGAAGAACATATACATTCCAGTTCTTTGGGATCCCCTTATTGCTTGGACTCAAGGCTGTATCTATTAATGTCACTTGCCTGACCCTGAGACACTTGAATTTGCAACTCTGTATTAGTTTTCTAGGGCCGACTAAATAAAGTATCACAAACTGAGTAGCATAAACAAAAGAAATTTATTGTCTCACAGTTGTGGAGGCTAACAGTTCAAGATCAAGTGTCCACAGGCCCTCTGAAGATGCTCGGGAAGGATCTGTTCCGGGCCTCTCTCTAGTTTCTGGTGGTTCCTTGACTTGTGGCAGTATAACTCCAATCTTCACAGTACAGGTGTTCTCCATGTATGCATGTCTCTCTGTACAAATTTCCCCTGTTTGTGAGGACATCAGTCATATTGGATTAGAGGTTCATTCTATTCCAGTATGACCTCATCATAACTCAACTAATTACATCTGCAATGACTCAATTTCTAAATAAGATCACATTCTGAGATACTGGGGGATAGGACTTCAATATATGAATTTTGGGTGGACACATTTCAATGCATAAGAAATGATGGATGAAAGTCTTGCAAAATATCAGTGAGTACTGTGTATGGATTTTTCGTGGAAACCCGTGAAGAGGCCACATTTCTTACCTGGCAACTGCAACTATGATCTCCCCATATCGTGGCATCAGAACCGCCACTTTGAATGATCTCTTCTAATGTCCCTTTCATCCACCAGAAAGTCGAGTGATTTGTTTTGTTTTCTCTAAGCACCTTTCTACAGCAAAGTCTATATGTGCATACAATACAATTACCTTGAACCTGGAGGGCACTCGAAGGCTCTTTCATTTAAGTCCCTTGGACAACTGTAATGGGAAAGAAAAAAAAACATGTCAGAGTTATATTTTCAAAATGAAATTGAATTACTGAAAGTGTCTCTTCAAAGAGAGAACGAAGGGTATGTTTTCCGAGGGCACTCGAAGGCTCTTTCATTTAAGTCCCTTGGACAACTGTAATGGGAAAGAAAAAAAACATGTCAGAGTTATATTTTCAAAATGAAATTGAATTACTGAAAGTGTCTCTTCAAAGAGAGAACGAAGGGTATGTTTTCCGTAATGCAAAGGTGGGACTTTTCCATGTTAGAATTCCTGTGCTGACCACCATCCCCAAAATCAGTGGCACAGGGAATAACAAAGGGAAGGCAAGCACCGTTTGCCAAAGATTTGGCCTAGATAATGCTGCTGTCACAATGAAAGCTTTGTGTTATCCACATGTTGTAAAATTATTTCCAATTATATATAAGTAAAGGGAGTAAAAACAATGATAAACACTCACATAAATGCTTGTCCATCATCTCTGTGCTGTGGAAGATGAATATGGGGACTGGCAGGGCTTAGCAGTCCTCAGAGAATATTAACTATGGGCACCAATGGAGCACATTGAGAAGCAATTTCTCTCCCGGAAGCACCAGAGCCATTTAAGTAGTTCAGCCTTCACTGTTCACGTCCAGTTGCCAAAAAGCAAATGAATTGCCTTGTTTGAAAGACATTTGTTTTCTTATTTTTTTTGGCAGTCAGGATGATCCCCTTGTTTTACCCATAATCAGGCCCCACAGAACTACATATCTGTGCACTAACAATTTAAAATAAACAAAGCATGGTTTTCAGATGACCAGTTTGCTTCAATCTGCTTGCAGACTGCCCCAAGGGGGCCAACGGAGCTGGCTGCTCTTCAGAATGCCAGTGTGTAGAGGAGAGCACCCTGGAAGGCAGTGCCAAAGATGGTAGTTGCACCTGCAAATCTGGTTACCAAGGCAACAGATGCCAGAAAGGTACAATCTGATGATAGATTTTCTTTCTTCTCTAATAATAATGCTCAGCCTTTGTTCAGCATCATATGATCATTAATTAGTTAATCCACACTGTCCGTGGGAGATTGGTAAACTTTATTAATCCCCTATTTACAGGTGAGGAAACTGAGAGACAGGGCAATAGTTATTTAATGTTGTCTTCTTAGCCTCTCCTGTTAGCTGTCCCCTTGCTACACTGAGCGAGGAAGAAAGACCACAATGCAGAGAATCTTACCCTAAAGAGAGTAGAGCTGGAAAACCACTTCCTTGATTTGAATTAATCAACCGAGGGCACTGCTGGCTTCCAGAATTACCGAATCTGGTTTTTTTTTGTATCTAAAGATTGATTATTCAGACAAATACAATTCAAAGATATTTAACCACAGAAAATCTTTGCAAAATTTAAATGGTTATTCGTGAAACCCTTCCTCAAATTTCTATTACATAATTTTAAAAATAAGTCTTTAAGTATTAATTTTTATGAATTGTGGGATTTTAATAATAAGTAACAAATACATATTTATATGTGTGTGTAGATGAATATAAAATTTGGAAAAAGGTATTCCAATATATCAGTAATCACTGGCTCTAGCTTGTGGACTCATGGAATGCTCCTCCCTGGGTATCTACATGGCTCTTTCATGTTGTCAAAAAGTTTCATGTCACCTTTTTCACTGGATCTTATTGGTACCACCCTACTTAAAATTGCAACTTGCTAGTCTCCCTGAACTTTTTTTCTTTTTCTATAGTGCTGGTCATCTTCTAACATACCACTACTCTAATTATTAATATGTCTAATATTTATTGCTTCTTGTTTTCTGCTAGAATCTGAACCCCATGGGGGAAGGATATCTGTAAATTTTGTTCACCCAAGTGTCCCCAGACTCCTAGAACAGTTCTGACACATAGATTCTGCTCAATACATATTTTCTTAATGTATAAATGAGCATGGTTCATTTTTTATTCTTTACACATTTTCCTCATATTATCATGTAATTTGCATTGAACTTTTATTATTTTTTTATTCAGGGGAAATTACCACAAATTTTTTTTTCTTTAACACATAAGAATACTGAGCATATGACAAAGAAAATTATTATAACTAATAGTAAGCTATGATACTTTTTGCCTTTTCAGTGATTCAAAGGGCAATCTTGCTTAAAATGAGGAAATAATGGGTTCGAAAGGAAGCCATTCTACTGTTGGGTCCACTTACAGAGGCAGGCACTGGGATTGAAAGTTGTCATTGATGCTCATGTATCATGTATTTGCTGCTTCCGTTGCCATCTTCAGAGGGTCTGCAGGGCTTTTGTGGAGCTGAGTGAAAAGGGGAGTGTGACATTCCAGGTTGTCCTATGGCTGTGGCACTGGAGCATGAGAGCAGGGATGTCCTTCTAAATTTCATGGTGAGAAGGCTATTTAGGTAACTGGATTGTGGCTTTCTAGGCAATGGGGAAAGGAACTTGGGGAAACGAAAGGTTGACACTACATGAATGTGAATGTGTTTAATATGGTGTGCAAGTGGGTCCTGCACCAATCTTTAAACCTCCTCCTGCTTCAACTGATTTGTAAGCCTAGAGTAGACCCCTTCTCCATGTCCCCACTGCAGAAGTCCTGCCCTGGAAGTCAATGCATGAGGAGACAATACCATATACACACACCTGGTTAAGTTTAATTTATTCTGATAACATTTCCTTAAGGCAGCTGCTGAATATACTTTATTGGAAAATGCTTCTGAGATTCCCACTGTGAAGAAAAATGAGTTGAAAGTATATGTAAATCAGCAAAATAGAGAGGTCACCATAATCTCTGGAAAACATATTATTTTTCAATCAGATAACTTTGTCCAATTTTGATATTTTTGTCTAACCACAAAATGAAATTATGAATCAGACTGGAGTAGGTGAATTGGCTTGCTATGATTGGCAGTTGAAATCAAGGCAAAAAGAGCTCTCCAAGAGTTGTGCATGATAAAAATCAGCCCTGTTGTTTTTCTCTCTCCTTTTAAAAGAGTGAAGTAGCCCAAGTGCTCCTTAGAGCCAGACATATCTTTAAAAATCTTAACTCCAGACCTGTGTCTAGATTGTGGATGAATAGTTAATTAAAGACTGCAAATTGTTTCAATGGCACTAATGAACAGTACTCTCCACAATCAGCACCGGGCCTTATTTAGCTTATCAGCCATGACTCCTAAGAACAGAAGAGCTGGTTTCTACCACTAACCTGAGAAATAGCAAACAAACAAACAAATAAATAAAAATAAAAAAGGAAGCCACCAGTGTCTTTGCCTTGCTTTGATTAGTTTGTAGCCTGGGGTATTTGGGACCCCAGCTGCAGGCAGAGCTCTGAATGCAGAAGACTGTGGACCAGCAAGCCCCTTGAATTCATCTAAGGATGCATATACAATCCTGTGTCATCATAAGAAAGAAAGACTTTTGTTACAGTCGTTCCATGTTGTATGAACTTCAAATTTGTAGCTCTGGTGAGTCTGCAAGAGCAGGTGAATGGACTTGAAAGGTGCTCGGTACCTAGTATTGTAGAGTAAGTTGGGTGTAGTGACTGGGAGCACCAGTTTCAGAGGCCAAAAAATCATGATTCAAATCCCAACTTAGCTTTTTATAAGCTTTGTGACACAGTAAGTCATTTAACCTCTCAGAGCCTCCATTTCTTATTAAAATGTAGATAAAGTTGCTCATGTTGTGGAGTTATTTTTATGGAAATATGAGCTAATTTACATAAAGTGCTTGGCTCAGAGTAAGTGATCAACAGATCGGGTATGAATATACTAGAAAATGTAAAAATTCTGTTATTCAAAGACCCTGTCCAGAACAAGAAGATACTTCCCAGCCTGACTTTGTTTGATGTAACTTTCCACAATTGTCACAAATGCAGGAAAGTTTCCCCGTTTTCCCTGTTTAAAAGAATGCTTTCCACCAGGTTTCTTATTGCTGTGGTTTTAATGGTAGAACATATGCTGAAACTTCTGAGCCCTCAGTAGTCTCTGCAGCATCACCTGTCTTTTTCTAGTTCAGAGGGCATTTGACAAAGCAGCATGCAATTTCTCTTTGCCCACCTTATGCCTTGTACGTTCTTATACAATACACAATTTGCAAACTTCCAGCATGATTATTCTGGCTTATGAAAGAAGCAAAGACTTGGAGAACAGGATTTGGGCAACCATTTGAGAGCAACATTCTGAGCACCATGCCTCCTGAGCTTCCTTTACAAATTACATCTCATTTTCACGTTTTGTTCTGTGCAACTGCCTCCAAAGATGTATATCAAAATTGCTTCCATTGTTACTGTCTGAAAAACCATATTTTCAGCAAAAAGCCAACCTCTGTATCTGTGTTTCCAAAGTGACACGATATAGCATCTTGTTGATTTCTTCAGGGAATATTTTTGGAAGTGCTATAAATGTCTGAAAAACCATATTTTCAGCAAAAAGCCAACCTCTGTATCTGTGTTTCCAAAGTGACAAGATATAGCATCTTGTTGATTTCTTCAGGGAATATTTTTGGAAGTGCTATAAATCCTTAGAGGCTACTAGTATGTTTCTTTCTTTGCAGCTCAGTCATACACACACACACACTTTTCCAATTTGCTTAGGCAGCAGTAGAAATCTGGGATCATCTTGAGACTTATTACAAGTCTAAGCTCCTTTCTTTCTCTCTTTTTACTTTGCAAGCCTGCCCTGATGGCCTCTGGGGACCAGAGTGCCAATTCTCCTGAGCACCCTGTGAGAATGGAGGTCAGTGCAACAAAAAAACTGGGAACTGTGATTGTGCTCCTGGTTACATAGGAAAATCCTGTACCATACGTAAGTCATAAACCTAGACAGGATAACCAAAAAGGGCAATAAAACTGTTAGCTTTATAAATGCTCTTTTTTGTTTGTTTTTTCTAACTGCTGTACAAGATACTGTTGTGTTAGAGTCCATGTTTTAACTATGGCATAACAAATTATCCCAATACCTCATGGCTTAAAACAATAATTTATCATTTTCTTTATTCTGTGGGTGGATGGGATGGTTGTACTTCTGGTCTCACCTGGGGTCACTCATGTGGCTGCTTCAGCTGGTTAGATCAGCTGGGAACAGACTGGGTTTGGCTGGGCTTTTCAACCCAGGAACCTGGTCTTTCCTCTACATGAGGTTCCCACAGGGTTAGCCTGGACTTCCTCATCAGGGCAGTTACAAGAAAACATTCCAGGAAGGGGTATCCCAAAAGTTTGAGAGGAAAATCTACAATACATCAAAAAGCCTGGCTCAGAAGCCATATGTTATACCTCCGCCACATCTACTGGCAAGCTGCGTTCAAGGGGAGGAGAATGAGACTCTACCTCCTGATGGGAAAAGAAGCAGAATCTCGTTGCAAAAGACCTGCAAGCTGGGAGATATGGTTGCAGCTATTTTGGGAACCAATCTACCATAGTATGCTATTTAAAGTTCTACTGAAAGGCACTTTAAGAACCTGCTAGACTGGAATTATCATTCTTGTCAGAATGGGAGCAGATTATAGACTGATAAAAGTGATTAGCTAAATTGAACCTGTTTCAAAGAGCCAGTAGAACTACCATCCTGCTCTGTCCTCTTGTGGCCGTGATTCTTGCGTAAGCCGTGTTCACCCTGCCTGTTTCCCCTTCTCTACACCATCACAGTGAAACAGGGTGACTTGAGAACTTGAAGAAAGCTGTGGGCTGGATGGTAATACCAGTATTGTTTACATGACTATTTGAAATTGTCTAATAAAAGTTAGCAAAAGTCTGTTGTTTATGATCACCTATCATTTTATAAGGTCTGAACAATGTTCTGAATTAACTTTCAATACTTAAGACTTTCCATAAACCAACCAACAAATAAAACCAGAGTCATAAACTGTAAATATAAAATGTAGCACCAGGATAGTATTTAGCACTTAATCATCTGATCATTTTGGGAAATACCTTACTGTCCCTAAGGATAACCCTCAAGCGAAAATGATAGGACAAGGTCTTTGACAATTTTTCTGTATATAACTAGGTAGTTTTTTATTTTAGGACTGTCATTCTGGCACTGTTGACAAGCATTTCAAACAGTATAAAAGTTTGGAGCAGCAGCTGGCTATCCATAACCCACTTGTTTATTAAAAAAAAAAAAAAAAAAAAAAAAAAAAACAGAAAAACTTAAAGGTAAGAATTTACATATTCAAAAGGTAGTTACTTGCTATTTCCACAGTGAAGTGACATTTTCTCTTGTCTAACTCAACATTAATGGAATAATTATTAAGCAGATAGTGATAAAGTTTGCCCTGTTCCAATTGCCAGGTGATATAAATAGACTATTTAAAAACAAATGAAGAGAAAGATAAATGGCTCATTCTTTAAAATATTAATTTTAATAGTTATAGTACAATTCTTCCATTCTAGGATTTCAAACCCCAGGAGAATATTTTATGACAGTCTTGAGATTTTTGGTGATAAGCTATACTATTTAGATTTTAATAGCAACCTGATTATGATGTACGTATTGAATGGAATAGGAAAAAATAATCCCTGATTCCTAGTCCAGTTCAATTTCAGTGTTACATGCTATTATCTGATTTTATACACAGACACAAACACAAATTATATAATCACCATAATAAGATATTTAGGAAAATGAATGGAACCAAATGATCGGACTCATTAAAAATGCTTCATGCATACTTCACATAGAATGTGTGTGGCATTTAAAAAGGGGCTTGTATTTGAAGAAAAGCATACACATCTCTAAATATCCTGATATGGTGCTCACAGAATTTTAAAACCTAGTTACTCTGCATAATGAACTGTAAAAATACTTATAGGCTATCCAAGGTAATGTGTTTTAGAGGCAAGAGAAATCAAAAATCTATTTCTAAAGATATTGACTTTATATAAATCTTATTGTTTGGAAGTTATAAATACAAATACTTGGGGAAATTTTTTTTTTTTTTAAAAAAAGGTTTTATTTCACTGTGTTAGAAAATACTCTGGATTGTTGTAGGTTATTTCATTTTATTTTATCTTATTTTATTTATTTTGAGTTTTGCTTCCTACACAGTGTGTGTGTGGCATGGGGTGAGAGTACAGGGGGGTGGATTCACAGACATTCTCACAGCCTTGATAAAAATGTACCATCTCTGTGAATGACAGTTTAACCTTATGTATCAGGCCTTTTAGCAAATAATAAGAGATGTGGTCCCTGCTTTTTCTTTATCTTAGAATTATTGGTAATAAAAAAAAAGTACTAAATGGAAACAATCTAAATATCCACCAGGAGGAGAATGATTAACCAAATTATATAACCCATCAATGGAATACTCTAAGGCCATTAAGATTCATTTTGGAAGAATGTGTAATGGTCAGGAGAATTGACATTAAATTGACATTAAATGTTGTATATGGAGAATGATCCGAACTTCTAAGAACATGTGTTCATGTATGTATATGGAAAATTGTGGTAGAAAGGAGTTGTTAACAGTGGCCATCTCTACATGGTGGGACTGTGGGCGAATATTTTTTTCCTTTCTGCATTTCTATCTTTTCTATATTTCCTACTGCATTAGTCCGTTTCTGTTGCTTGTAACAAAATACACAGAAGTGGGTATTTTGTAAAGAAAAAAGAATTTATTGCTTAAAGTTTTGGAGGCTAGGAAGTCCAAAGTCCAGGTGGTGAAGGCCGTGGCGGTGGTGACAGTGATGGCAGAGTATCACATTGCAAAAATGCTTTAGCAGAGAGAGCAGAGAGAGAGCAAGAGAGACCAACCTCTGCATGCGCTGCTCTCCTTTTAAAGCTCCCAGACCACGCCCCTGACCGCCGTTATTAATCCATTCACTACTGTGTCCATCAATGGAATACTCTAAGGCCATTAAGATTCATTTTGGAAGAATGTGTAATGGTCAGGAAAATTGACATTAAATTGACATTAAATGTTGTATACAGAGAATGATCCGAACTTCTAAGAACATGTGCTCATGTATGTATATGGAAAATTGTGGTAGAAAGGAGTTGTTAACAGTGGCCATCTCTACAGGGTGGGACTGTGGGCGAATATTTTTTTCCTTTCTGCATTTCTATCTTTTCTATATTTCCTACTGCATTAGTCCGTTTCTGTTGCTTATAACAAAATACACAGAAGTGGGTATGTTGTTAACAAAGTGGGTATTTTCTTAACAAAATACCCAGTTCTGTGTATTTTGTTAAGAAAAAAGAATTTATTGCTTAAAGTTTTGGAGGCTAGGAAGTCCAAAGTCCAGGTGGTGAAGGCCGTGGCGGTGGTGACAGTGATGACCGAGTATCACATTGCAAAAATGCTTTAGCAGAGAGAGCAGAGAGAGAGCAAGAGAGACCAACCTCTGCATGCGCTCTCCTTTTAAAGCTCCCAGACCACGCCCCTGACCGCCGTTATTAATCCATTCACTACTGCAGGGTCCTACAATCCAATCACTTCTTCAAGGTTCCACCTTTCAATTACCATAATAGGATTTGGGACATAATTCAATCCACTACAACTACTTTAATACTTTCCCCTTAAAAATCAGAGGGAAAAAAAGACATCTTTAGATCAATTGTTAACCAAATTGCCAAGTAACATAGCTGTCTGTTCTTACAGTATTGTCTGGTGGCCTTAACTGTTTCCATGGTAGTAAAGATGTTTCTCCTTCAGTCTTATTGAACTGTTGCTATTTTAGCTGAAGACCATTTTCTTCTTTCTCTCCTGTTGTGGATATTGAGCATAACTCACCAGTACTCCCAAACCTCTTACAACACAAACACAACTAAAAGATCATAGTGACATTCCCTCTGAACACTTCCTTTCCCTTTGTTCAGAAATCCCATTTTCTATCCCTTAGTCATTTTATATTACATCTCTGAATATTGCCACATTTTTCATGAGCATTTACAAAATAGGGTCCTTCACTACTGAAGGAAGGAAAATTAGAAAGAATGGGGAAAAGACATGCATAGTCATTTTATATTACATCTCTGAATATTGCCACATTTTTCATGAGCATTTACAAAATAGGATCCTTCACTACTGAAGGAAGGAAAATTAGAAAGAATGGGGAAAAGACATGCAAAGGGAGATACTAATTCCTAATACATCTATGCTTTAAACAGTATTTGATCAAACTCCATGAAAACCATACTGAACACAGGTATAAGGCTTCCTCAGTGGTAAGCTCCTAAAGGTTTAAAGGGCTCTTTGAAATATAAAAACCCTGGGTTGTACCATTTGCCAGTTACCAGGGTGTAATACTCTTACTACGGTGTTTTCAAGCAACCAATGTGATGTCAAACAGCTCTCAAAATACCTGAAAAATTAACAGCCGGCTTTAGCTGGCTTTCCTGAGCTGGCAGTAATGGCTCCAGCATACCACTGGCTGGCAAATATTGTATTCTGAACACACCAAATGATTTCTTAACCTTTACTTTCTTTTTTGATATTAAGATACTATTACTTTTGAGGTGTTCATTTTACATTGCTGTTTCTAAACAGATAACCAGTGTGACCTTTTGGTTGAATTAGCCCACAAATAGTTCCAACCAGCAAAAATATTTGCTACTTAGTCTATCTTATTTTTAAGACAAAAATCAACTGTTTGGCTGAATGAATTCAAGATTTAAAAAAAGACAAGTGTTGAGTTGCTTTATGTGTAAACACAGGCTCCTCAGTCTTTTTTTCTAGAATTCATATAGTTGAAGCATCGGCTGAGATCTAGAGGGACCATTTGCTCCCTTTAACATCTCCCTTTTCAACTTCCCCTACACACCTACCACAAGCCAAGGCTGGCATTTCCTTTATGACACACCTTTGTCAAAAAGATGATAGTTATCTAACGGAAATAGAAGAGTACATGGAAACAAAACAAGCAAACACATAAAAACATTAGAAGAACAATTAAAAGTCTCAAGCATCATCAAACATGAGGAGATGAGGTGCAACAGAATGCTGCTTCTCTGCAACCATTGTAAATCTGATTGTTAAAGTTGCTGTAAAATAAATTGTATTTAAATAATACATCTCCCAGCCTTTCCCACAGTGAGATGCATTTCCCTTACCAATCTGGTTCTCAGCAGGCAGTCCAGTCTGATGAAGTATCAGCAAAATGTCAGCTCCCACAGAGAAGTGTGACAGAGGCAATACTGAAGCAATGACAGGCCTTTCAAAAAGCTATTGTGCAAATTCAGTTTTAAAATAGGGATGTGGTTGAGGACTGATGGGTATGTCATTACCAATGCGCTCATCTCCCCATCATCCGTGGGAATGGGAGGGAGACCTGGTGCAGCTGATATAAAGCCATTAAGTTGAGTGGTGGTAAATCTGGTCTGCAGGAGATTTGTCTTCCTATCTGCATTTTCAAAAAGTTAGTATTCAAATTAGCTGTTATTTTTTAGCACATATCTATCGAAAGGGGACCATGAGTTGCTCTCTTCCCACTTGATCACTTTCCATAGTGCCTCAGTGAGATTGTAAATAAAGAGATCTTGTCATTGCTTTATAACCCTAGTGAGGAAATCAAAACTCCATAGCACGTAAGGCCCATCATCAACCTGCCCCAGCCTAATTTTGGCCACTCCCACATGTACCCCACATAGTTTAGTCATTCCCCCAAGCACCACGTACATTTAAAATGTGGTGCCATTGTTCACTGATCTTCCCTCTGATGAAGTTTTTCTGCCTCTGTTTTTATTGCCTGTTAAAATTCTTCAAGGAATTTTTTTCCCAGTATATGTAAACAAGCCAAAATACTAAATTCCTT